TTAAATACAGCTCTCTAGTGGCACCCCATGGCTCAAATGGTTAAGTGGGTGCCCCACGTATAGAGGCCATAGTTTTTTTCAATGCAGTTGGTCTATGTCAAAGTCCCACCCAGGGGCTTTTTGCTGTATGTTTTGCCCTTTCCTGCCATCCTGCTGTCAGGTAAAGGTCATTTGTCACCAAAAAACAAAAGTTCCAAAAAGAAGAAAGAGAGTCACATATAAATTGGTACATTTCTCAAAGAAAATGTTGTCCATCTGCATTCAATTAACTAAACAAAAGTCAGTTATCCTTATATGAGCACATTCATTTCCATACCCAGGCCTGTTAGGAATCTTGTGAAAAATGTTTAATGAATATGTACCAAAGACCAAAGAATCTAATTTCCTAGCAGTATCAGAGAAGATCCATCTCCTCACTATAGAAATGAAATCTCTTTGTAATGAGCCAGCCAACCAAAAACCCCATCAAGTCAAAATTACATCATAAAAGCAGAAATCACAGCCAAATCCAGCACCTTGAAGGAGGGCATGATTAACTGTGTCCAACAGTAAGACTTGACTTGAGTGGAAAGAATTACCCACCAAGAAGCACATTCTTGATAATTCAAGGTCTAAAGTCAGTAACACTCTACTGTAGCACTGTACTTTAGTATTCGGTCGTTAGAATTTATGAAATGATTTATGCAATCAAAGAGAGCACTCTGTGTTGAAAACTATGGACAACTGAAAGCTATAGTTTTAATTTGGCAGCATAAAGTAACTCCTCGCATCCCAGCAGCTTTAAGGGTGAAAAGCCAAGTAGTCAGCTGTGAGGGGAGCCCAGGCAAAAGCTGCGGTCATTTATCCTCATTTTTAACCGAGTGCCTTGTTTTTTCTTTTTTTGTGCCTTCTGTCATTCTCTGTCCCTAACGAGACGGGCCTTTTGGACACAAGAAGTCGGGTGAGTAACGGGTAAGAGTAGAAGAGAAAGCAGCATGGATCCTGCCAGTCACACGGGGCCCAGAAGACGGAGTGTCCGAGCCCTGCAGGACCAACTGGCAGATGGCTGCCTCAGGATAATGACCAGGTGACATCTGCAGAATGAACAAGCCATCAGGCTAACAGACTCACCTTGACCCACCAGGGAAGCAGAACTGCCCCTTTTCTATCTCCTCCTGCGATTCCTTTAGGTTATACCCAGAACCCAAGAAGTATAACAGAAGTTTATTGATCTACAAAGTTTCTCAACTCCTTCCAAAAAGGAGGTGTGAGAATGCCCTGAAAAAAAAAACAATAACAGATTTTATGTGGGCGTTTGAATTGAATTTCCCTCTATTCTCTGGAGAGTCAGTCTGAGACTAGACGGGGAGTAAATTTGTCTCTCGTGATTGTAATAGAAACTCCTTATAACACAAAATCATTGTCCGATTTTCCATTAACTTTGTCATAAACAACATTTTGTGAGAGACACATACTATTGGCCCATCATATTACTTAGCAAAATAAAATCATAGATTTTTTTCTTTTCCTTTTGTGTCTTTTGTTCAGATGCTGGAACTGACATATGATTTTTAAAAGGCAATGCCTGCCTTCTCCGTAGACTCACACACATCGATGATGTGATGCTGTGCACAAAGGTCATCTTCTGACAGTGGTGAGATCATGAAAAGGTCAGATTCCCTGTGCCATTTGGAAAAGAGGCAGCATGATGCCAAGCTGCCAATACAATTTCAGCATGTCTTTTTCATTTGAGTGTTAATACCATACATTGTTTACTGAAAAGTCCACCAGTGCTGTACGGCCCATGGCCAACAGTGGTTTGGGATGAAGTTTGGAAAAACTTTTAAAGCTGAAATGGAAGAGGCGCCTGAATGAATGTAGTCACAAGATTTAATTGGCATCAATTAGGCCCTCAGATAGGTTTGTGTCGCGCACAACAATCAAAACTGAAGGCTGCTCTTTCTGCATTTTCATCTTGGAGTTTTGAGCTTACAAAAAAGTCAGTAAATTGATATGGACTCAGGGTTCTTGGTGCAGGGCCTTGAAAAAAAATTGTGGACATGGCAACAATGTAAGATCGTCCGTTTGCCAAATTTATTGCAAAGCACGACGCACTTCATGGAACATTATTAATAGTTGACAAGCTATGAATACAAATTCAGGATAATTTAAAGTCACTCTGTTTTTAGAGGCTGTAAATAAAACAAGTATTACTACAAAGTGTAACGAAGACAGTTCCCTCAATACAAAGTGTCAGGATCACTTACTGCTGATATTAGGCTGTGAAATGCATGCAAATAAGTGAGCTGGCTTATCTGCCCCCATGAGAAATAAACCAGAGTGATGGAATCTCACACATTATTTTCCACAGTTTTACAATTGGAAAAAATAGATCATAGAGATATAACTGCCAACAGCATTGTCAGTTTATAATTTGTAACAAATCAATTGTGTTGCAGCTCGTTTTTCATGATCTGTAACTGTCTTTTTGTCTAAAAGTATACGAGCACTCACGGGCCGAAGGTTCAATTACACACATTAAGATGTTGCCCACACTTGTTTTCCCTCTCGCTTCTCTGATGATGTTCAAATCCTCCCCACCGTAGACTCAGGAATCCACCACATCTCACATATCTCAGCCAGTTAAACCTATCTGCAGGCTTAATTGATGCCAATGAAATCTTGTGACTGCATTCAAATGATGATGAATTGCGTGGCGAGTCTTTGCATCAATTACCCAACAGCAGAGTTGAATGCTAATGATGCAGCAAGTACATAACATACTGTACTTCACCTCAGCAGGATACAGAGCAGTGCAGAGACATTCCAGATTAATCTAGCCTGTACATATGTGGGTTGTTGTGGACAGTGATCTGACTTGGATATCTTTGAAATATAAAGTCAGACAAATCAATTAAATATTTAGTATCTTCCACTGAATATTTAACAGGATGTTTTTTAGCTTGATTTCTGTTTTTAGATATGTAGATCAAATGTAGTATTTGGTAAATGTTGCATGATGCTACAGCTTAGCCTTGTATTGATGCCCAGGTTTCCAGTTTATAGAATCATATTGGCGTCCTTTGTGTGGCTTACTGACCAGTATTCGTATTTTAAAGCAATTTTCCCCAGTATCAAACAAACATCCACATGCAACCGCCATTCTATCAGCCAAGAGCTCTGTTCCTCACCTTGCACTATTTTTCATCACTTAGAGACACTAAATGACTTTCATTCTCTAAGTCTTCAGAGTCTCTCTAAGCTCTTCCAGCTTATACACACTGCTTGGGATGCATTTTCAAGTAGTTAACCCACTTTCTGTTCTTGCTTATAGAACAAAAGGACACTTCTGGGGTTTCACTGACTTTTGCATTCAAGCTTGGCATCTATAGGCTGTCTCAAACAGGTTTAAGTCTTGAACAAAGCAAACCGTGTTTACATAAACATCCACAGTCACTTTTGAGAGTGGTCAGGATGGAACTCTGCTTCGATGGAGCTGTAAACAGGGGCTTCACAAACTTTGGCATTTCGTTCTGGAGAAGACTTTACTATATGAAATTCACAGTAATGACAGTTTCTATATCCACAAAAAGGTTTAGCCAGCACAATAACAACACAAATATCACAAATATTCATCCAATGAGAACCTTAATCTCAAGTGTGGACTAACCCCTTATACATTTCAGTTATAGGCTCTGTGCCTTTGTGGTGCATTCAGGAATTCAGAGATCTTCTGTTACTGCTGAGCCTCCTTCTTTTATTCTCATAAAAGAGCTAAACTGCAGTCACGGACAAATATAGCGGGAAGCAGCACTGTGAAGATCTGGATCATCTCCAGACCCACCCAAACAAAAATACTCTCATTACCTTCTCTGCAGGGAGGTGCAGAGCGGCACTCTGATCCACTGGCACGCTTAAATCCATCTCTATCACGTGGCTCTCATTCGCTCCTTTGCTTTTTTGAAAGATTTCACTTCAAATAGCGACACCTTGCAAGATTAGTTTAGCTTCTGATATAATGTTTTACCTTGACTGAGACAAAACAGGCATGTGACTGATACCATGTTTATGCAAAACTTACAGACTTGGAGAGTTTGTTCAAACAAGACCAACGACAGGACACATAAATAATGTTGTGATAGCACGCTGCTTCAGTCTATAAAACAGCTGTTAGTTTGGTGAGGATTTATCAAAATAAGTCTTACAGTGCCATCGTCTCCCCATAAACTTCAGGAGAGAGGAGGGATGTTGTAATGATGATAGGTAAATGAACAGCCTCTCCGAAGTGTTAATCTGAGAAGTTCCATGGTGTCAGGGTGTGCAGGGAAAGACTATGAAAAAAACAAGCTTTTGATAAGGAAAACTTATGCGGAGGGAATGCTTCACGCAAATCAATACTGAATGTCAATGACAAAAATCTCGCTCAAAAAAATAAAAACAGGGCCGGTATTGATTTGATGTCTGACATATTCTACATGAATTTTTAGGTGACAGCTCAGGAGATATCTTAATCTTTGCTCGAGACCTTCAAATGCCAAGATTCATTTCTCTCAGTCCCCTTTGGAATTATGTTATTATGGTTGGGGAGATGACAGTTGTATCAATTATGCATAAGGTGAGGGTGTATGGAAGGCATCTATGCAAATCAAGTTCACCCCATGGATGACAGTCAGATGAAAACTCTCATTTCAAAGTTTCAGGTAATAGGTATCTATCTATCTATCTATCTATCTATCTATCT